GCCACCACTTCTAGGTCATCGATCCCTTCGTTGAAAGGTAGGCGGCAAAAATCAGCTTTTGTCTTGACCACACACCCCCTGATGGACGGAGGATGAAATTGGACCTAGTGAAGGGAAAATACGACAAACCACATATATATTTTTTCCGTCCGAATTTTTTTGTCCCAAACTTGTTTCTCAAATAAATGTATTTAACACTAACTTAATGTTACATACATCCATTTGTGAGAGAAGTTTTTTCAAACGAATGGAGTATTATTTTTAACTCGAAGGCGGCCGTGGAAAAACAATCCCTGTCAATGAGGCCACCGGAGACGAAGACAAAATAACATCAATAGTATGAATACTGGAAGAGGAATGGACACAATCAATCGAAGAAGAAACCTCAAGAGACTGATCACGGATATAGATAATACTTCCTTCGTAAAGAAATATAAGAGCGTTCAGACAGAGGGGGTAATAAAGAAGAGGGTCATCGGTGGCATGGTTCTATGCCAGATAACGAATAACTAGATCATGCTGTTTCGGCCCCTCATTTTCTTTTTGCGGGCTGTTTCGGCCCCTCTTCGACAGGCTGCATGGGCACATCACTTGCAAATTGCAATGCACTTGCGTCATATCTCGGTGTGGTTTGAATGCTGTAGGTTGAATTGAGCGGTGCCTAATCCGATAGCGACCCGTTCGTTCAAACCAAATTAAACTTGCCCCGTCGTACCGGGCGGCCGGCGGACGACGACGAGTAGGTTGACCGCCGAGTCGCCGGCTGAGATGGTGCCATCAGTCAGTGCATGCAGTACATCACTTGTCCCGCCACGACGTGGACTTGCGCCCCCACCACCACACGCATCTCCATCTCCGGTCTGCCCCGGCTCATCTCCTCAGTCTTCACGCCTCACGCCAGAAAAGTCGCGAGCCAGACGACGCTCGACGTAGTTTCTTAGAAATGCAGACGATGCTCACGCTGTCATTGTCATGCCAACCAGTGGACATGAACGGCCAGCCACAGCCTGTATCGGTGGACTGTATGCATGGTTATCATCGCGTGGCCATGGTGTGTTGCGTCGTCGATCAGGCAGCCAGTAGTAGTCCATAAAATACCCCTCGCCCGCCCCGTCCGGAACAAGTCCAAGGCCATCCACGGCACAACCGCCAACGGTGGTGGGCAGTTTCGCTTGGCTCCTCCTGTCTTGTAGTAGTTCGCGTGCACAAGAGGTCGCCATGTACCCGAAGCCGGAGGATGGTCCGGCGACGGGCTTCCCGATGAGCGGCGGCACGGGCGTAGGCGTTGGCGGCGGCGGTGGCCCGGGCGCGTACTACCAGGCGGCGCCGGCGACAGCGGCGTTCGCGATGCAGGCGCAGGCGCCGCTGGCGGCGTGGTCGACGGGGCTGTGCGACTGCTTCGACGACTGCGGCAACTGCTGCATCACGTGCCTGTGCCCGTGCATCACGTTCGGGCAGGTGGCGGAGATCATCGACCGCGGGTCGACGTCGTGCGGGGCGAGCGGCGCGCTCTACGCGCTCATCATGCTGCTCACCGGCTGCCAGTGCGTCTACTCCTGCTTCTACCGCTCCAAGATGCGCGCGCACTACGGCCTGCAGGAGAGCCCCTGCGCCGACTGCTGCATCCACTGGTGCTGCGAGCCCTGCGCGCTCTGCCAGGAGTACCGCGAGCTCAAGAAGAGGGGCTTCGACATGAACCTCGGTGCGCACCTACTGCTAATGTTATCTCTCTATATGTCTATATATGTAACCTAATTGGATTAGTTATGTGCTAACCGGCGACATGAACCTCTGCATGCAGGATGGCACGCCAACATGGAGAGGCAAGGACGCACTCCGGCGACCATGCCACCCCTCATGCACCCAGGGATGACCCGTTGATCGATCTGTGCTTTTGTTCTCCAAGACACGTCTAAAGTGTGCGTCCTTATGTAGTAGAAGAAGTAATCTCCATGCTATTCGGCGTCTTTGCGGTGCCGGTGTTACCTACTTTGCAGGTTTCTGTACAATACTGTGTAACACACGACTACTACTTTGTGTAATGTTACTGCAAACGTATTTTCCCTTTTTTATCTAGAATATGCATGAGTATGCGTATTTTTTATATTAAGAGGAGAAGAGGATAAGGGCACCTCCAACGACGATCTGTAAATTTTTTCCTGCATCCGTCTGCGGACAGGGGCACCAGTCCACATAGACGGATGTGGGAGGACGCCATCCAACGCTAGCCGCATACAACTTGCCAACAGTTCGAATTAACTAGACGAAATTTGTTCAAACAGATTAAAAACTAGATTTTTATTTTTGAAGTTTGGATAAACCAAACACGATCAGATTTCATATAAACATAGCGAATTTCGTTACATTTATATCAATTAAGTGGTGCTAGTCCGGCTCTGGAGGTATAATTAATACCTAATCTAAATGGTCGTCGTCCCTTTGTACGACCATGAACCCAGAGAACCAAAGCTTCGCTTTTTCCAGCTCCGCCTCGGCGCTCTCCAGCTCTGTCTCCATAACCTCCGCCTCCGGAGCCCCAGGAAGCGAAGCTGTCCGCCTCTGCGTCGCCGCCAAGCGGCTAATCGTCCGACGATGTTCAACCCACCAAACTTGGCGTCAACGGGTGGGAAGGAGCGGTGGCCTTCTTGGGACCCGAGCGGCGGTGTACTCTTCCTCGCTGCCGGCGGCGCCCGCGGACATGACAGCCTCATGCTCGTGGCGGCGGGGTGCGGCCTCGATGTTGTCCTTCTCCTCCTCGTCGGTCTCGCCGAACAGCGCCTCGCTCGCCTCACCGCACTCCTTGGACGCGGCGGCTACCTCCGCCACCCGCTATCGGTACCGCCAGCTGGCGAGGCGGATCTTGCGGGCGAAGCGGTAGGACTGGAGCAGCGCTTCCTACTCCACCAGGCCTGCATTCGGCGTGACCGCCCCGCATGCGCCGAGCTGCTCTTTCGCCTGCGGGGGCTCCTGTAGGAGATGGTGGTTATAGGCGGCGTTGGTCTGCGCCTCCTTGAACTGCTCCTCCCGCATCATGTTCATGTAAAGGGCATGGGGCCTCGCCGATGGTCATGGTGCAGTGCACTGGCGAGGGAGGCACGGCGGCGGAGGAGGAGGGTAGCCCCGGTGAGGTATTAGTTAGGATCATTAAATGTTGCAGCGGGAATCTTCTAAGTTAATGTGGCATTTTGTGTACTGTTTCTGAGACATTATCTTTTCCTTAGTGTTCTTCTTCATCAAGATTATCTTGGGCTTATTATCGAAATGTTTGTAATGTGCTTGCCTCAATGTGTAGATGTATGCACTAACCAAGGAACGAGATAAATTAAGGAGAGAGCAAAATAAGAAAAGTGACGCAGCCGCGCTTTTGAAAGAAAAGGACGAGATTATCACTCAGGTCATGGCTAAAGGTATGCAGAATTGTCGTTTTTATGCCTGTTCTTTTATGCTTATGTGTGAACAATTGTTGACTTTGCATTACTCAAATTATTCCGTTATTATGTTGAGAAAATATGAAATTACCAGTTTTATCATTTGAACTATTGTCTTGTGACCATTTCATGTACTCCTTCCGATCTATATTACTTGTCGTAGATTTAGTATAACTTTACTAAAGCAACGACAAGTAGTATTGACCGGAGGGAGTATTAATATTACCATACAGTATGGTCCACCATGTTGAGTATTCTTTATCAGTGACGGTCATTGCAATTATGACTCCAATGATCATGCGACATCAGAAAATATATAATTTCCGACGGTCGCTACAGAACGTAGATAATAATGACATAATAAACATTTCAAACAAATCTTGTAAATGAGAGTCACATCCACAGCTTCGATATGGGGTCTCTCATCTCCAGTTTATTGTGGTATTTCCGTATTTGTAAGCTGTATGACCTTAACAAGCCTTGGTTGAGTTCCTGCTTAGTTGGAGCCAAAGTCCTCTGCTACCCGCTGAGTTCCTGCTTTAGTTGGAGCTAATGTGTGTATTGTAACTTAGCTGATATTCATTTCTTAACTACTTTAGTTCGCATACTGGCTATGGCAGATAGGATTGTGAGGCCAGCCTCGACGTGCAAGCCTGTCTGCTGTCCAATTTCTATTCTGAAGCAGGAGCCAAGTGTAGAACTTAACCTCCCCCTCTGCCTTTGCCTTCCAAACCACTTCGAGCTGCGGTTGCGGGATACGGCCGATGAATTGAGCTTCAATGTCTACTCTCTTCTGATTTTTAACAGGAGTCAGCTGCTCGAAAGGAAGAAGCTTGGGCTGGAGTGGAGAGAACCTTGAACTCTCGTCTTCATGTCTACTCTCCTGATTTTTTTGTTAGCAGTAGGGCGGAAAAATAACGAAGATAACTAGAACTACAACATGAGATTTAATTGTTATAAACGTAGTTGATTAGGGGCATCACAAGGAATGGCCCCATTAGTAGCTATTTTTGTGCAGTTGTTTATGCTTTTCAGCAATTAATAGTACATACAAAGATGTCTGCTATCTTGTTTTAACGCAATCAGGGAGAAAGCCAGAAACATTCAGCGACATAGTTTTACTTTTATCTGTTCTACTCAAATATTCAGGAAGCGGAAGCGAAAGCTGCTGCCTCAGAAGAAAAGGAGCGGTCTATAAATGAGAGACTGTCACAAAATTTTGTCCCGCATAACTGTTCTGGAGACTCAGGTTTGTGCGTCATTTTCTTGTGAGACTAAAAACATGTGACATTCCTATAAATCTTCATGAATGTTGGTCGTTATGCAGATTACAATTCTTAGGACAGAACACAGACAGCTGAGCCGATCTGTTGAAAAGGATAGACGAAGAGCATCTGAAAGTAGACAGTAGTACCTAGCAATTAAGGAGGAGGCGGCATTACAAGCAGGACAAGCCAAACGGCTTGAAGAAGAAGAAAAGGAGCTTAGAGCTAGGCACACAAATGAGCTGCAGGAAGCAGCAGAACACAGGGGGCTGCTTGAGAAGGTAATCAACTTATCTTGAATCATCTTCTGTAAGTAACTGGGTATACATGTTAATTAATCTGATTGCTTTGAGCACTGTACGGAGCAAGCATTTCTCCTGCCAAAATCGTTAATGTGCCCAGTGACACTTCCTTTAAAGTTAATCAAATATACTCACGTGACACAAATTTAAACTTTGGGTTTATCTTATAATAGGATTTTGTAGGGTCAACAGTCATCTTTTACTTGTTTCTATCTCCTACATGAACAAAATTAGTCATGTCAAAAGTCGCATGAAGTTCTCCTTGAATTGTTTAATTAACGTCTCTTGAAGTTGTGTCACTTCAATGTAGGCGTTCTAGAAACTGACAGTAGCTGGTTATTCAATCTGGGTCGTCTGAAAGTATACCAGTTAGAGCCAAAAGCTGTTTTAGCTGATTTAATCAAGCATTATGGATGTCTGCATGTGTTTAATTGATTTTAGCACTTAGCCTGTGCAACACATCATTTCACACTGCCAAGTGAAAAATGGTGGAGCTACCAAGCTGCTGGCCACCCTGAACGTCTACTGTATTTGGCCTCAAAGAAGCCAATTTGTTTTTGATTGTTTCCGTGAGGTGCCTGGTTACCCAACTTATGTTCAGCATCATCTACAGTAGAATGTAGTGGACCATTTACTGCCTGTAAATGGCATCAAGACATCTCCAGTCCCATAAAGGTGTTACTGCAAATTCATGTGTCATACTCGTTTATCTTAATGCCTGAAGAAGCTGATGCAATAGCTTGGAATAGTTTCATGACTTAGTTTTAATAAAAAGTTTGCTTTGCATGTACATGGTTTTATTATGACATCAGGCCACCTCAAACGTTCATGATGTATGATTTGTGTTTCATTTGTAACAATTAACCATGGTCTAGGATATTGTATGTTTTACAACTTGTCTAAAGACGTCAGAGCACGAACTCTTGCCTTTGGGTGTGTGTGTTAGTTTTCATTTGTTCTTGCCAATAGTTGGGCCTGCAGGTATTTGCATGGCAATCACTTGTTCTATTGTGTCACTGCATTAATGTCATTATTGCATTACAGGCATCATTGGAATCTATTCGGAGTTCCCTAGCAGAGGAGTTGGTAAAACTGACGGAACAAGTAAATCCTTGTGAACTACCTATATTATATCCTTCGCAAAATCTAACGACCAGTCGACTGGTGGTTTGCGTCAGGCACGCACGATCCATGTTCGACTTCCTGCACTGCATGGATCGCTAGATTTTTTTTTTCTATTGGCTGATTGCTAGAGCCAAGGAAGAAAAATAAAGCGCCTGACAGGGATCGAACCCAGGACGCACAGCCTCCGCATGCTCCCTTTGACCAACGAGCTCCAACATGTTAGTGGTCCAACTTGGAAATCATAAGAACTTAACCTTTTAAACCTCGTAGCATCAAAAATGAAAGTTGTGCTAATTCTCAAATTTTTTGCTGCTGGAGTCAAACTCCAGACTCAAGAATTCTGACGAGGGACATGAACCACATGGACTAAGCTGCTTGTTGTGATAAATGTTGTGTGGTGTAGTACTTGCGTCAATTCTTAAAGCTCGACTAAAAGTTAGCAATAGATCCCTACAACCTGATTGTTGCTTGTTGTGGAGCGCACGACCCCGAGGACCCCGTCCGGATCGCCCGCACAACCCACGTCTCTCCCGACGCTGGCCCGTTCTCTTTTACTTTTTTTCCCGACGCAGGCCTGTTCCCTCTACTTTCTTTCCTCACATGATCTCAAAAAAAAAATTGATGGCTTCCTGTGCTGGATAAGAATCGAACCATGTACCTCAAGTAGTAATTCCTACGACACAAACCACTAGCCTCGCTTCAGACTTGCTGTTTTTTAAACAAGTTTACATGATACTTGTTCTTGGTTAATAAGAGTTTGAACATTAAAAATTAGTGGTTAGGTCAATGATTTCCCCACTAACGTGGTTCTTTTGGCCTGATTTTTTTTGTCGAAACATCCCCCAATAATGTTGTGTGAATAACATGGTCATTAATGCACCACGGACCTGATAACTTACACACAAACACCCTGATAACTCACACATCCTAATAATTTATGTACCCCGGTCCCG